GTGTGTGTGTGTGTCTCTGTGAGCTCACCGTCCACCCTGCACCACCAATGTGCTTCTTCTCGACCCCCGTTATTTGTTTTTGCCCCTCTGCCAATTCGAAATCTCTCTCAATCTATGCGGTGAAAGAGAAACTTTGTTGCTTCTGTTGATTCTTCTCCTCAGGTCGTCCTCTCTCTCTCTCTCTCTCTCTCTCTCTCTCTCTCTCTCTCTCTCTCTCTCTCTCTGTGTGTGTGTCGCTCGCTCGGGCACTCCTACTTCGTCCCTACTGATGTTTCGCTGCCTCTCCCTCTTTAGCAATGCTGTCATGAGGTGTGGAGTCTCTGGACGGCAATTCACTAGAGGTATTCATTGTGTGCATCTGTACATCATGGCGCACAGAAGAGGAGGAGGAAGAGGCAGGATTTCGGATGATGATGCATAAGATGGACGATGAGGAGGAGGAATGCAGCAGGGCGTGAAAGAGGAAACTCAGGTGGGAGTGTTAATGTGGGTGTTTCTTCACAGTGTTCACACTATTTGTTTGACTGATGGTGTACTTCCCACTTCACCCAAGTAGAACGCAGGGTTCTCATCCCTCCATCTAGGCCGATAGTAGCCCCCCACCCAACACGGCCCCCCCCTGCCTGCTCGGTTGTGACCGTCCACGGGCCTCCGGCGCTAGAAGACCTCCAATGCCTGTGGTGCGGCACTGCGGACAACCACTACACCTGGGCATACGCCAAGTACAAAGCACCTTAAAGTTTCATATACAATACATACATACACTATGAGTGTACCATACGCAGTAACTTTCTACGTACCTTTTCATATGTAATACATACTAGCTAAGCGCCCGCGGTCCGGGCCATGCCCGCAGAAATAAGAAATGTTGAAGGCAACCTGACACGGACCACTCTCATAAACCAAGACCGACTTAAAAACAAAAAAAGGAATCACAGGGGAATAAAGAATAGGGGTAGGGTGGGGGGTGGGCTGGGTGGGGGGTGCGCTGGGTGGGCTGGGTGGGGTGGGTGGGGTGGGTGGTGTTACATACTCGTGAATACTTCAACGAGTATGGGGCAGAACCAAAGATCAACCAATATAGGATGAGCGTGTATGAAGTCTGATAAATGGACTGACTCACATAGACTGACTCACACAGAAATCACTCCACACACAAACAATCGTGAGATGGTGGGGTCCGAGCCAATCATGGAAGATGCTCAGGCCCCGTACACGCATACACAGACGAAACGTGGGAGGAGAGATGAAGGAAGTGGGAGATGTAGGTAGCGCCAGATGTCACCGAGATAGAATCCAGTAGGTCACCGATATGGTAATCCAAAATGTCATCGAACAAGATCAAATGTCGTGGACAATAAGTC